CGTTTAGGTAGAAACGATAGGTGACGGTTACCTCTGCGTCAGTGGACTACCTCACAGGAACGGCCAGCAGCACATCAAAGAAATATGTAGTATGTCTCTGGGCTTCATGAATAGTCTCAGGAGCTTCAGAGTACCCACCTTCTCAACAAGGGGTTAACCTGAGAATCGGAATGCATACATACAGGTGAGCTCGCTTTTCCATCCTCAAAAAACCACGTATAGTTGTGGATTCTTTTTCCTCTCTTTCTTCTCGCTTTCTTTTGTTTTGTTGACCTTAAAACTCACAACTGACCATCATACCTCATATCTTTTGTTGACCGCTGCAAAGTCACAGTGACTTGGTGAATGTTCTTGTACTAAGTGCACCTCGTTAAACGGGTTGGTCATCTAATGAGGAGCTCGAAACTCCTCGTATATCAACTTTATAGATGAAGGTGGTTGCAGGAAGACATAATTGTGTGAGAGGCAGCATGCGATAAAAAGTAGTCGAAAAAGAGTAATAAATGGCTATGATTTACGAAGCCGGGCTCCCGCGCTTGGGTCTCTTGAAGAGATTGACGGTGGGTGAAAGAAAGTGATAGTGGCAGGTAAAGCAGATAAGGACTACAACAATAGTTTGTCGCAGAATATGGTGCACTTTCCGGTTCTTCTTCTTCTCCCTAGCATTAGTTCCGCGTCCATCGCAGAGTCCGCTGTTCTTGTTAGACGTTGGTAATTGGTCTACAGCAGGGGTGCTATATAGTGGGAAAACGGCGAAAACGCGAAGTGAAATGGTCAAAAACCTAAGAAGAAAAGTCTTCATCGCCTATAACCGTTACGATAGATGCGGCTGCACGTATATACTCATATATACGTGCAGCCGCATCATCGCAGCTACTTTATATCAATCCCTTCACTTCATATTTTGCTTCGCAAATGAAGCAAGAGGCAAGAGATCATCAAATATGGTCATCCATTTGTGGGCGTCCAGGTCGTTGTGTTGCAGCTTGATAGGACCTCAAAAAAACTACCTTCCGTGGAAAAGGCGCTGTGCAGCGCCTGCTCAGGGGCGAGGACTTCCGTCCTGCGAGACGTGTTACCCGGGAAGCGATCGCTTGGGCGCCCGTATCGGCGTGTTGCAGCTCGATAAGCGCTGTAAGTACCTTCGAAAAGGCGCCACGCAGCGTCTACTGAGGGGCGCCTTTTCGAAGGTTCTGTCCTTGACGTAACAATTCTACATGTCTTTATGATGCCACTCGCCTTGGAGGAGGCAGTATGTTGGGTGGAATAGAAAGACAGTACACTGGAAAAACGTGTGTTTTTGAAGCGCACACATCGTGCGCTAATGTGCTTAACGAAACGTAAACACTGTGGGTGCCGAAAGCGTTACAGACACAACTGTACTCTGGTGAATGGTAGCAATCTCCGCTGAACTTCTATATTTTAAGTCTATAGTAAGGCATTTTTTTAATCTACAACAAGTAATTTGGTTAATAGGTAATAAGAAGTCGTTCAGAAGAGTCTCGTGTGAGGAGAATTCCCTAAATAGTACAAATTGTTTTAAATAAAACCATACTCTGCCAGGCACTGTAATTCTACGTAATTCCTGAACTGCCTCTTGGAAGGAAACAAGTCCACTGTTTAGCCACTGTTTTGTTAAGTGACCCTCATATGTCTTGGTATTTAGGTTCTGTGGTAGCAGGCGTCGTAGGGTTAACCATGCCTCGATACTGCCTTTTTGGTGACACTGTAAATACCGCGAGCAGAATGGAAAGCAACGGGAAGCGTGAGTTGCATTTGATTTCAATGTTCGCTGAGTTCCACAGCCGATTTTGACTGATAGCTAGTTAAGTTGTTCCGTTTGCTCTCCTAAGTGTCCAGAATGAAATGTATAGTATGGAGTTGAGAAAACTTTACACCATGGCTAAGTTACTTCACACCACCACAGTCTCTTCAACGATCAGTTCGAGCTTGATAGAACTAACCACTGTTATATGACATAGTTGCAACTTCCCATTTAGAGAGACTTTTCTACCTAAACCCAGTGAAGGTCGCAACGAGCTTTCCTGACCAGGTATCATAAAACGGTCCTCGCAGGATACAGCTACCAGCCGTACATAATTGTCTTTATGATAGTGCTGCAGCTCGATTAGTGTACTTATGCTGCACCGCAGCTGCTCTTTTCTGCTCCACGAACTTATTCTAAAGCAATTTTCGCTCGGTGATTCTAGCATACAGGGACCTTCTGTTCAACGGGCCCAGTGTTCATTACATGTATGGGGTGAACACTGAGCTAATTTGCTGTTTTACAAACGCTTCTGTTTCAGCTGGTAAAATTCATCTCTCGGCTGAAGCCCAACGTCTTCTCATGGAAGTTGGAGGTTTTGAAGTTGAGTCCAGGGGAGAGGTTATAATCAAGGTATCGAGCTACTTACTATCGAATTTTTTTGTTTTCTGCATCGTTTTCTGACTGCTAGGTTATTCCTAGTTTCGAAACACCTAGGCTCAGCAAAAGTTTGCACACTACATTGTGTACCAAAAGGCGAATATAAGGCGAGTAGCGAATGAGATTCAGACTCTAGTGATGAACAAAGGTCAGACAACAGGAAGACCAGGCAGAAATTGCAGCGGAGAAGCGAAATACATAGGCAAAGTTGTTGACGAAACCACAGTAGACAAAGGGAATGCAAATAGCCGAGCGGCTAGTTACTATGGAAAAAGGAGTTAGATACTGACAGCAGGAATGAGGGACCGGACGAGTAGTAAATGAGAAAAGGGTCAATGAATGGAAAGAGGTAGGAAATGAAGTATTTAGAGATATGCAGGATGAAAGAAACAGAGCTACAGAACAAGTAGAAGCAAATACTGACCGTGTAGTGTGGAAGAACATGGTAGAAATAAACAAGACTGGAGAAGAGAACAGTGACCTTCTCCCATACTGGAAGGACTCTGATGTACTCAAATTCTCGAGATTGATACCCCTGAGCAGCGTAGCCCAAGAACCTGCACACAGGAGAAAATGCAACTGTCGTTATCTGTTGGCTAACGAGATCCGCTAATCTAAATATTTTGTGTTTCAGGGAAAAGGAGTAATGGAGACTTTCTGGCTGAGTGGTCGCAGCGGCGACGTTCGCCCTTCATCAGCTTCACCGAAGAAACATGCCCAGGAACGAGTGCAGCAAAATTCTGATGTGTCACCTAACTCGGACAAGGAGACTTCTCAGAAGAACTTCGACAAGGAGATTTCTCAGAGAACCACTAGTGTTGGAAGATTTGTCGGAAGGCGATTAAATGCTGTAGCGACGACTTTGTGAAAATACGTGCTTTTTGCAAAGATGAAGTCTATATACGATAAATATGATATCCTTTTTCGTTAGCATAATATTGATATTTCAAGCCATCTCGGCGAGTCTCCTCTGAAGAAGCCACATGACCTTCCGTTGCTGCGCTACTTGGCAAAATCGGAGATAGAGGTGAAAAATGGTGCAACAAAGGTGAATAATCCAAGAGAAATTGTCAGAACTGATGGAGTAGGGCTTCATTCTACCTGCACAGTATGGGCGGTAGATCATCACGAGACTTCGTAAGGGCGATTTAAAGGCAGCACGCAGTTATTCGTCATCCCTGATACGAGGGTTGCCTTTTATATTTCGGGATTGGGCAACCCTAGTGTTGCAATCTGGCAACTGACAGCTCTATCGTAAAGTTTGACATTTTTGAGGTTATACGTACTCAGAACGTTTTGACATATGAGCGCTATTTGTGTTGTTTACACTAACTTAAACGATTTAGGTCGGCCAAAAAATGGAATTAAATCGTGAACATTTTCGTGCGATTATTTTTTACAACTTTTACAACTTAATTCAATTTTTGGCGATGAAGCTCCATCAAGGACCAGTATCGATGGTATGGTGAATTCAACCAAGGTCGTAGTTCACTCCAAAAGTTGTTGTTCCGGAAACCATTGATGCTGTGCGCAAACTAATATTGCAAGATCGTCATGTGACCTATCGTGAGATTGAGACAACCTTAGGCATTAGTGGGACCAGCATATATTCAATATTGCATGAACATTTGACTGTCAAAAAAATTTGTTCGCGTTGGATCCCAACCGCCGAAGACGGATCACTCTTCACCACGACAATGCGAGCTCTCACACATCGGCTCAAACAACTGCATTTTTGAGCACTCAAAACATCGATTTGATGAGTCATCCGCCATATAGTCCTGACTTGGCACCGAATGACTTCTTTTTATTCCCGTACGTAAAAAATAAAATGAGAGGTCAACGTTTTTCGACACCTGAAGAAGCGGTTGATGCGTTCAGAATGCATGTTTTGGAGATACCTCAATCAGAGTGGCAAAAGTGCTTCGACAATTGGTTCAAACGCATGCAAAAGTGTATAGATCTTAATGGGGAATATTTTGAAAAACAATAAAGCGATTTTCAATGATTAATATTTATTTTTGTTCTCTAATCCCGAAATATAAAAGGCAACCTACGTAGTGGATTAGAGGGGTTCCATATAGACGACAAGGGGTTGAGTAACTCGACAGTGAAGAAAAAAAGCACAAAAAACATGCCACCTGCCCTAGATAGAACCCCATTTTGATCCCAGTTTGTACGTGCCCAATTACTCTATCTCCCACGCTACGCCCTCATACGCGCAGCTGACGATTTTCATGCTTTTTCGTCCTGCAATCTCGTTTTTCACTGAAAGCCGGGCACTTGGAGGCGGAGTCTGGAGGCGGAGTCACTGGAAAAAAGGAGGAACCACTGAACCCTATAGCGCCCTCCCTTAGAATTTTTGCCGCAAAACCGGTACAAGGTTGTTCGTCGCGGACCACTCTAACCTCCTGACGCCATATTTTCAACTTCGATACCTGATCGCGGACCGTGCCTTTAATCACTTGCATCCTGTCAATATTACGCTTCAATTAATAAGAAAACATCACAGCGTAACTATGAGGAAGAGCAATTAAATGCATCACAAGCTGTGAAACGGTATCGGAGAATTTTTGTTTTTAGTATGTGCACAGGCGAAGCTGAACGTCAAGAATGCTGACGTTTAGCATGAGAGATAGCTGCCAACAACGGTTATACGGTACCACAGCGTCATGGAAGGCAGCGCACTAACACGCGAGAAAGTCCGCGCCCCAACAAGTTGCCACTATGTCTTCCGTTCATCTCTGATAAGGTCAGTGCTG